ATATTTAATTGCAGTTATTTCCCGGCTGATTCTATGAACTTTAAAAACTTTCAAATTTTCACTTTTTTTACAAGGGGTAGTATCATCTATTTTTGTGAAAATGGGTCAAAAAAAATTTTTTTTAGGTGTGAATGCGAATTTATTGGAAATTTTGTTACGAGTTCAACAAGGTATGACATTCCATTTTTGGGCCTTTACTTTTCTTGTTTCGGCCAAAATACTGATTTTTTTTGGGTGGAAAAAAAGGATCTTCGTTTTTTTGCGAAAAACCGATTTTTTCCTTTTGCCATTTTTGCTGTAACTTGTTCAAAAATGGTCCAAAATCTAAAAGGCGCACTGTTTTGGACAGCTAACAAGCTCGATATTTAATTGCAGTTATTTCCCGGCTGATTCTATAAACTTTAAAAATTTTCAAATTTTCACTTTTTTTTTTGCGAAAAACCGATTTTTTCCTTTTACCATTTTTGCTGTAACTTGTTCAAGAATGGTCCAAAATCTAAAAGGCGCACTGTTTTGGACAGCTAACAAGCTCGATAATAAATTGCAGTTATTTCCCGGCTGATTCTATGAACTTTAAAAATTTTCAAATTTTCACTTTTTTTACAAGGGGTAGTATCATCTATTTTTGTGAAAATGGGTCAAAAAAGGCCAAGCAGCGATAATCGATGCGTGTGACAAACGAGGGCCTGGCACCCAAAAAATTGCATTTTTTGTTAGGGGGGTGAAAAATATGTTTGAAGGGGGGGCTATCCCTATAGATCTTTACCCTGGAGAAAAGCCTGTCCCCAGAAGAAAAGCCCCAAAAGCTCTTGGGGGGCTAAAATCGAAGTTTGCGTTGAAAATGAAATTTAATTTTATGACTCATTATTTTACACACGCACACCTTGCACAAAGGGGGATTCGGGGGGCCAGAGACACCCACTCACACGCACGGAGGGCACATAAATATCGTTTGCCTGGATGGGAGGCCGTTAAATGAGCTCCGTGAGACATTTTGCGTTCCGCCTCGATTGTCAACAACCCGGCCAAAAAAAGAGCCCCCATTCTAAGAACCCCTCTTAGCCCCCGCCCCTTGTTTTTTTGCCCCTTGTTTATTTGGCTTATTTATTTCGTCTTGACTGCCGCCGTTTTATGCACACTTTCACTTTTACTTTCCCCCAACAATTGCCTTTGTGTCTCCATGTGTGTGTGTGTTGGCGACACTTGTGTGCGTCATGCAGGACCTGCTTACCAAGGGGGCGGGGGGTACTTACCCCCTGGAATCAGGAATCAGGAATCTGATTCTGAACCAGAATCAGCGGGGAGTCGTGTCTATTTAAATCGAAGCGAAATCAATTTCGGTATTCGCGTTTTATGCACAAGGCAAACATAAAATGCGCGCATGAGGAGAGCTTAACCTGTCCCCCCTGAACGCACCGCCCCTGGGGTACCACCCCCTCGAAATCCACCCACTTAAATGGCAAGTGGCGCGGGAACAGCGGGCTGAAGAGGTTTCAGTAGCTGATGCATTCACATTTGAGCACATTGTTGACAATTGAAATGTTCTGTGTGTGCGCTCGTGTTTGAACTGCTTAACGCCAAGCAGGGGCGTCGTTTCCAGGGGGATTCAATTTTCCCTCTCTCCCTTTTTATGCTAAATCTTTAAACATATTTTTAACTATAAATAATGATATCCGAAGCTGTTCAGTAAAGAATTTAACTTCGGGAAACAAAAGAAAGTGATCTTTATTTTAGATCAAAGGGATACATACATAATTCTTACAAAAAGTCACCCCCAAAAAACCCCTCCCCAACAACACCCCCTTAACTTTCTGAATGTGTGTGCTTGCCTGTGCAAAAATAATCGCATTTCCGATTCGCGATTTGTGATTAGCGTGCGATAAACATTCGCCTGCTTCCTTTGTGCGTTTTCTTTATGTTGCCACCGATTTCGCCCTAAACGGATATATCCCAGACTCCCCAAAGCACCCAGTACTCAGCACCCTTGGCCCCCCTTCGCCCCTGTTCAGTGGGGCATAAATATTACACGTTGATTTCAACCGAATTGGAAACTTTTATTTATTTACTTTTCGCATTCTTATTTTATTCTATTTATTTGGTCGCACTCTGCGCGTTTTGTTCGATTTTTGTTTATGCGGTGATAAAAGTGTTGCACCCTTTTCTTTGGGTCCCTTCCCAACGCAACGATGACGACTTGAATTTTCAATTAAAAAAACTTTGCATGGGGAGTTGCAGGGGGACATTTCTGAATGGTTATTCATAAGCACGCTGCCCGGCCATGAATCAATGCTGAAAGTCCAAAGTCCAGAAGGGGTTTTCTGGGGGTGTCTGGCCAAGTGACAGTCATTGTAGCTGAAATTATTCCACTGAAATGTTATCAGTATTCTCTTGAACTTTGGCCCCACAAGGGTTAGGGCTTCGGGGGGAGGGCGTGAGTGCTGGCAGTCTTTTCCAGAAGTTTCTACTGTGGAAAATGCTTTTCGAAAATATATCTCATCAGGTTCTGACACCGCTTTGTTAATAAATATATAAACATTTTTTGTTTGATTAAAAAAATTATAATTTAATTGCTTTTTAAATTTTGAAAATAATTTTAAAGTTTTACAAAGATTTTTAATTTGTTGTATCCCTTTTTACCTTTTTTCCAACTTTCGAAAAGGTAGAAAATGGAATAAAATAGTTGCCAGTATGAATTTTGTTATAAAATTAATCTAGATATTTTTAAATTCATTTAATGCAATAATTTGTATTATTTTCCCACCTTTTCATCCTGTTAAAGTGTGATTTTCGTGACTCACGATACCACCGCTTGGCTCCTCGAATAGTTTCATGTTGCTGATGGAGGCGGCAACATTATCGCCAGCAACATTATTCATTATCGTTTACCAGCTGCCCCGCCCCCGCCCCGCCCCTTCCTCCGGCCCCCGCTGCTTTTGGCCATTTCAAGTCGGTGACATTGCAACAGATACTTCTGCTCTGCCTCAAGTTTGGCTTCCTGCCTCCTGAATCCGCCCCCAACCCCCTTCCCCCGTCGACCTGCCACGCCCACCCGCATCTCACGTAGTGCCCAATGAAGCCGACCCGCCCACTTTTAAGTCACAACTCTGGACAAAGTTTTGCGTGCTGTGAGAAAAAAATAATAAAGGAGCGAGGACTACAAAACAGTTCACAGGAAAGAAAAGCCATGGCACAGACGCATCTCGGTGGGCAGGAAAACTTCCGTTTCGAGTTGTGGCCTGGAAATTGGCAACTGCAATCAAGTGGAAGGATCCCATGGAACACGGCCGTGGGTTCCGAAAGCCGGCCAATAAATATGAAATTAATCCGGCTGAATATTAGCAGGAAGTAGCATTCGAAAATGGATAATCTTTAAGTCGTAATAAGAGGAAATCAGAAAAAATCTAAGGTATAAATACAAAATTATTGCAAGAGTATAGTAATATAGTAATAAAGTAAAAATATCTTTTAAAATTTAACAAAATAACAATGCTAAAAATCTAAAACAAATAATTTAAATATAAACGTATAAATAATATATAAAAAGGCTTTGTATATTTTTCAGAATTATATGTAAGCAATGTTTTTGACTTCTGAGCGGTATCAAGAAAGCGTATCCTTGCGTATCCTTTGAAATTATTGTTGCTGTTGACCATGCAGCTGCAACATTTCAAATTTCGCATCCTGCGTGCGGACATATCGCCCCGGTTTCCCCCCTTCCCATCCCCATTTTTCCCCTTTCCCAGACAGATTTTCATAGCTGGCACAGTTTGAGCCTTGAATATTTTGCATTTATGCAAAAGGCAGCACTCAAAAAGAAGATTCTAATAGAGCACAGCTTGCTGAAGAAGAAGACGCAGGCGAAGGCGCCATCTGCCACGCCCACTGGGCAAAAAGTTGCAACTTTTGTGCTGCATGCGGTTTTTGCTGTGACAGTTTCGTAGATTTCACTGCGGGCATTTTGGCAAAAAGTTGCGAGAGTTGGATGTGAAAAATATATATAAATAAATGTTGGGTGAGTTTATTTTGGCTCTCAAATCGCTGGACACATGAATATTCGTTGGCAACCAAAAGCGAAAGTCTTTATGAGTAATACCTTCCCCTTTGCGAAGGAAAACCGCAGCAAAAATAATTACCCATTTTGATACGCACCTGAATAGCTAATATATGGTTATTGTAATGATTCGCTTCTGGGTTTTGCATCCGATCCGGGTTTTCTCCAGAAATCTTCTGGGCTAAGGTGTTGACTGGGGAAAACCGGAATAAGAGATTCACAGTTGGTTATCACTAAGTCATGAATGGTTAATATAATTTATGTGCACAGCAAACTTATCAAACCTGCTTAATAAGCCTCTTTCTTTATTCAAGGAAATAATAAATCAATACATCTTTCAACCTCTGAATAAAAGGCAAAGCATTGAAATAGTTTAAAAATAAATCAAAATAAATCATGTCAAGATGTATCTTTTCATTAAAATATCCGTAGAAACTCAATAAAATGTAAATAAATATATTCTGACAGCTATAATGAATTATAATAAAGTAATAAAACACTGTATTGTCATCAAAATCATAATCAAGTATAATCTCCTATGGATGCCGTTCTTGATATACTTTTATTGAGCTTTATTAAGTGTAACCTTCTTATCAGGCGTTGTATTGCATTTATTTTTAAAATACTTCACTCTCCAAAAACGATTGCTCGCACTTTCCCAGCTTTATGACCTGATAACTGAAAAAATAGCAGCGAAACAAGTGGATTTTTGCGGTGAGAGGCTAATTAAATGGCACACGTAGGCGAATAATTGCGAGTGTTTTATATTTTTATTGAGCGACTGGAAGAGCGACTGGAAGGCAGTCTCAACGGCAACGGGTTTTCCCGCCCAGCCGCAATCAATGAGAATCGATCGGCTAATCAATGCAACCGCGGGGATGGAAAAGCCAAGCTCCGAGTTTCAAAGCTTCCGAGGGTCGCGTTTCCGAGGTTGCCAATTGCCGATCGCCAGAGATCAGTAGTTGATTGCCAGCCACTGGGGACGCAGCTTCGCCAACGACTCGAGAATCAATCAGAGTGGAAAACAAGGAGTGCAAAATTAGGAAAATTGGAACATCTGGAAAAATGCTCTTGCTCATCGCCCTTTCCTTGGCCTTTTTGGGGGCTGAGGCCCAGCAAACTGGCAGTAAGCTGCCCGACTTAACCAACCGATTTAGAGGTTTCTGAACCCCTTTTCTATTTTAGAAGCCATCATGCATTTTGGCAACTGCATTTCGGTGGAATTCGGCAGAGGCACCTGCATCGAGAAAAGGGACTGCGATTTTTACGCCGTGGATAAACTAATGGATGTGGCCAGCAAACAACAGTGCTTCTCCCGCCAGCGACCCGATCTGGTAAGTACATATAAATATATACAACCTATGTATATATTCTTGATGTTCAGAACAGCAAACACGTTTCCCACCACCAACCAGTTTTCACGCTCCGTGGAGATCTTCTTCCCCTGTTTAATGTTGTTTATTAGCATTATGGCCAACTGATAATTTATTGGCCTCACGTTTATTTACGTCTTACTAGGCAAACATCTAGCAAGGGGCTTTTCCACAGGCGCCACAAATTCGTGCACCTCTAATATTATTTTCCGACTCTTTGTCTATATGCTTCAAGTACATGATTGTGCAATCGTATAGCCTTTCAAATTGTTCGAAAAGTTTAAAAAATAAAATAGTTTTATGCCAAGGTTGGTCAGAAATAAAGTTTTTTAGGTGCAAATGCGAGTTTATTGGAAATCTTATTACGAGTTCAACAAGGTATGGCATTCAATTTTTGGGCCTTTACTTTTCTTGTTTCGGCCAAAATACTGATTTTTTTTGGGTGGAAAAAAAGGATCTTCGTTTTTTTGCGAAAAACCGATTTTTTCCTTTTACCATTTTTGCTGTAACTTGTTCAAAAATGGTCCAAAATCTAAAAGGCGAACTGTTTTGGACAGCTAACAAGCTCGATAATTAATTGCAGTTATTTCCCGGCTGATTCTTTGAACTTTAAAAATTTTCAAATTTTCACTTTTTTTACAAGGGGTAGTATCATCTATTTTTGTGAAAATGGGTCAAAAAAAAAATTTCTTTGGTGTGATTGCGAATTTTTTGGAAATTTTGTTACGAGTTCAAAAAGGTATGACATTCCATTTTTGGGCCTTTACTTTTCTTGTTTCGGCCAAAATACTGATTTTTTTTGGGTGGAAAAAAAGGATCTTCGTTTTTTTGCGAAAAACCGATTTTTTCCTTTTGCCATTTTTGCTGTAACTTGTTCAAAAATGGTCCAAAATCTAAAAGGCGCACTGTTTTGGACAGCTAACAAGCTCGATATTTAATTGCAGTTATTTCCCGGCTGATTCTATAAACTTTAAAAATTTTCAAATTTTCACTTTTTTTTTTGCGAAAAACCGATTTTTTCCTTTTACCATTTTTGCTGTAACTTGTTCAAAAATGGTCCAAAATCTAAAAGGCGCACTGTTTTGGACAGCTAACAAGCTCGATATTTAATTGCAGTTATTTCCCGGCTGATTCTATAAACTTTAAAAATTTTCAAATTTTCACTTTTTTTACAAGGGGTAGTATCATCTATTTTTGTGAAAATGGGTCAAAAAAAATTTTTTTTAGGTGTGAATGCGAATTTATTGGAAATTTTGTTACGAGTTCAACAAGGTATGACATTCCATTTTTGGGCCTTTACTTTTCTTGTTTCGGCCAAAATACTGATTTTTTTTGGGTGGAAAAAAAGGATCCTCGTTTTTTTGCGAAAAACCGATTTTTTCCTTTTACCATTTTTGCTGTAACTTGTTCAAAAATGGTCCAAAATCTAAAAGGCGAACTGTTTTGGACAGCTAACAAGCTCGATATTTAATTGCAGTTATTTCCCGGCTGATTCTATAAACTTTAAAAATTTTCAAATTTTCACTTTTTTTACAAGGGGTAGTATCATCTATTTTTATGAAAATGGGTCAAAAAAAATTTTTTTTAGGTGTGAATGCGAATTTATTGGAAATTTTGTTACGAGTTCAACAAGGTATGACATTCCATTTTTGGGCCTTTACTTTTCTTGTTTCGGCCAAAATACTGATTTTTTTTGGGTGGAAAAAAAGGATCCTCGTTTTTTTGCGAAAAACCGATTTTTTCCTTTTACCATTTTTGCTGTAACTTGTTCAAAAATGGTCCAAAATCTAAAAGGCGCACTGTTTTGGACAGCTAACAAGCTCGATATTTAATTGCAGTTATTTCCCGGCTGATTCTATGAACTTTAAAAACTTTCAAATTTTCACTTTTTTTACAAGGGGTAGTATCATCTATTTTTGTGAAAATGGGTCAAAAAAAATTTTTTTTAGGTGTGAATGCGAATTTATTGGAAATTTTGTTACGAGTTCAACAAGGTATGACATTCCATTTTTGGGCCTTTACTTTTCTTGTTTCGGCCAAAATACTGATTTTTTTTGGGTGGAAAAAAAGGATCTTCGTTTTTTTGCGAAAAACCGATTTTTTCCTTTTGCCATTTTTGCTGTAACTTGTTCAAAAATGGTCCAAAATCTAAAAGGCGCACTGTTTTGGACAGCTAACAAGCTCGATATTTAATTGCAGTTATTTCCCGGCTGATTCTATAAACTTTAAAAATTTTCAAATTTTCACTTTTTTTTTTGCGAAAAACCGATTTTTTCCTTTTACCATTTTTGCTGTAACTTGTTCAAGAATGGTCCAAAATCTAAAAGGCGCACTGTTTTGGACAGCTAACAAGCTCGATAATAAATTGCAGTTATTTCCCGGCTGATTCTATGAACTTTAAAAATTTTCAAATTTTCACTTTTTTTACAAGGGGTAGTATCATCTATTTTTGTGAAAATGGGTCAAAAAAAATTTTTTTTAGGTGTGAATGCGAATTTATTGGAAATTTTGTTACGAGTTCAACAAGGTATGACATTCCATTTTTGGGCCTTTACTTTTCTTGTTTCGGCCAAAATACTGATTTTTTTTGGGTGGAAAAAAAGGATCTTCGTTTTTTTGCGAAAAACCGATTTTTTCCTTTTGCCATTTTTGCTGTAACTTGTTCAAAAATGGTCCAAAATCTAAAAGGCGCACTGTTTTGGACAGCTAACAAGCTCGATAATTGATCGCAGTTATTTTCTTGCTGATTCTAAAAACTAAAAAATATGTCCTTAATCTCTGTTTTAACATCACCCTCTTATCCGATAACCTTCTGCTACTTTACCCACCAGGTGTGTTGTCCCCGCGAGACGAACATTATCCCGCCCTTTGCTCCCAGGATCGGCAATATGTCGAGCAATGCCAATGTCCCAGGGGCGAACACGACCAGGAGCGGCAGCTCGACTCCTCTGAAACTGTTGCCCAGAACGACGCCCCGTCCACCCACGGGGATCGACGAACTGCCCCAGCATCCGTACTGCGGCTCCGCCTTCTCGTTCCGCGTGGTCGGCGGCGAGTACACCGGGCTCTACGAGTTCCCCTGGACCACCCTGCTGGAGTACGAGCTGGCCGATGGGAGCAAGGACTACGCCTGCGGGGCATCCTTCATCGCCCAAAGGTGGCTGGTCACCGCCGCCCACTGCATCCATACGTTCGGCAGGAACCTCACGGCCGCCGTTCTGGGGGAATGGGATCGGGACACGGATCCGGATTGCGTGACTGTGTCCGGGGTGCGGGAGTGTACCCCTCCGCACATCCGGGTGACCATCGACCGGATCCTGCCTCACTCGCAGTACTCGAACCGCACCTACGGCAATGACATAGCCCTGCTGCGACTGTCCCGCCCGGTCAACTGGCTGCAGATGCCGTATCTGGAGCCCGTCTGCCTGCCGCCGCAGGGGGGCAGGATTGCTAATCAGCTGGCCGGCTCCGCCGCCGACGTTTCCGGCTGGGGCAAGACCGAGTCCAGCGGCAGCAGCCGGATCAAGCGGAAGGCCATGCTGACGATCCAGGCGCAGGACCAGTGCCAGGAGGCCTTCTCCAAGGACTCCAACATAGTCCTGACCGAGGGTCAAATGTGCGCCGGCGGCGAGATCGGCGTCGACTCCTGCAGCGGCGACTCCGGCGGTCCGCTGACCGTGGAGGCCAGCACGGTGCAGGGCGACCGGTACGTCTACCTGGCCGGTGTCGTCTCCATCGGGCGGGATCACTGTGGCAAGGCGCTCATCTCGGGGGTCTACACCCGGGTCAGCAGCTACTTGGGCTGGATCGAGGGCACCATCCGCGCGAATCGCGCTTAGCTGGCTTCCTGTTCCCTTGTAAAGCAAAGTAAAGCTTGTTCCGACCATCGATGACATTAAAACAATTTTTAAATACATACAATATTTATTATATTTTTTTTACATAACATGAATATAGATTTGTACTATAAAATATTGGCTTTGTCAATAAGGGCCCCAAAAAAATATCGCCAGGCAGTGTCTTATTTCTGATATAAATATGTACAAACAATAGTAGTCTTTAAAAAAAAAAATTAAAAATAAATATTTCCAAAGCATTTTAGATCCCCATATAGTTATACAGACAATGTATTTGACTTTTGATAAAATATGACCCATTTTTACCCTGAGTGCGTATGAAAAGGCGAAGCACCCGAGGGATTTCCCCCATGGAGGTTTTCTCTCTCTTTTCATTTGTCTGGCTTGTCAGGTCGTCATATCACTGACGTCACTGATTTCCGGCGTGCAATTTACTAAACATGTCCACACAACCTATCGCCTGCAATCTCGATTTCTGTCGAGATTAAACTGTTTGCCCATGACACCGAAAGGCTTAAAATGATGATGATGGTGTGCTAGGGGGCCGTAGCTCTGAGGGCAGCCCCTCTCCTCTTTCTAGAATGCCTATAATCGAAATATTTTACAGCTGATCTGACAAAAACTATGGCTAAGCATATTGTATTTTTACATGTTGAAATTATCCATGGAAGAGTCCTTAAAACCTATCCCAGCCCAAGATCTTCTTGTTTTCTTGCAGAGCTACTGACTAAGGTAAATAGAATTAGCAATCTGCGTTGCTAAGTGAATCATGGGGATGAACGAATTTGTACAGGAAGTAAACCAGTCATCTTCGGAATTCTTTTAATTATGACTGTCACCAATTTTCTCTTAGGTACACCTTTGACGTAATAAAACTGAATTACAAAGCTAAGTAATCTTTAAACTTGTTCTCTAAGCCCTAGTTATTTTTGAAGTTAGCGCTCGTACAGATTTGATTCTAAATCAAATCATATAAGCATATTTGTGAAATGATTTTTCTTTACAATTTTATTTGCATTTTGAACTTGTTTTTTGAAATCCTAGCTATTTCTATAAATAACTTTTAAGAATTATAATATTTGGGATGTATGCACCATGTAACAACATTTGGCATATGGTTTTTATTCACAATCCCTAGTTATTTCTTTAAATACCTTTAAGAATGGAATACTTAAGAAGTTTTGTTCACATTTTAGTTTCCATTTAAATTAAACAATTTGTCTGCCTATTTCGCAGACGATCTTGGATAGCACCCAAAATACTCACTTTTTCTCCAGCACTAAGAATACTCCAAATTATTCCAAAGAGCCTAGCCCATCTGTTTTTCGTACAAACTTTCAGGTAATAATAGGTTTAAGCAAACACTGGGTTTTTATCTTTATCGACATCAGTTTATTACTTATCATTATTACCAGCTACAAAATAAATAGTGTAATGCATACTTCGACGGTCACATTGTGACGCAACTACGACTAAAATAAGTTAGCTTACGGCTAGGTCAAAAAAAGTGGTGATGTTATATGTATGAAATGGGGAGATTTCCGGCAGGCGCTCAATTGCTGCGGCCAAAGATGACGGCCCGGCGACACCGATCCCGGTGGTCCCTCATCTTTCCTGCGGGACAGGGTTTCGCGATCTTCCGGGACACGAGGAGCTGGCTGGTGAGTGGTCGAGTGTGGGGATTGTAGAAGATCAGGCGGCGGGCATCCGTAATCCTGGGACTCTGGGCCAGTATCAAGGCGAGAACCACAAAGGTCAGGATCAGCAGGCGATGGAATTGCATTTTTATAGGTATTTCCAAGGGACTTATTCCGATACTGGTACTCGTTAGCGATTCTTGCCGCGATTATAATACTTTTCGGTGGGTGTTCGATCCGCTTGGGAGTCGCTTTTATGACTGCGCCTGCTCTCCGGGGTTGTGCGCGCCAATATTCAACGTCGATGGCCAAAGACGGCGACCGCCGGCCCGCATATCGATAAGATAAGTCCCCAAAGGCATTCCGCTGGCACGCGATAAGATATTCGCTCTATAGCCGGGCATATACCATATGCATATACAAATACACTACACATATTGACAATGCCTATTGTCGGCGGTCTTGGTTCGTGTGGGTTGCCCCTGGGACTCGGGTTACCATATGGTAGTACTACGATACTACGGCACTCCAATGCCATTGGCTGCTATTTTCGATCCTCGCAATGACGAAAGCGCGGGGGAATTTACGAGCGAGTGTAGTAAAATTCCTCCGTCATGCGTCGACGCTGGCGATTTAGCCAGAAGTCGCGAGGGGAATTAGGGTCTCCGGGCACTTCGTCACCGGGAGGATCCGTCGCTGGTCGCTATCACTGACCAGCCCACCTTATCGGTGACGCCTTATATCCGGTGTGATCTGATTGCCTCGCCTCGTTTCAGCCCGAAATTATGCAGTGCAAAAAGGATATTTTCCGTTCCATAAAGATGTAGAATCCCGCGTTGTCAAATGTTGTCTACATACAGCGGAGACCTATTGAGCAGTGGAAAGCATAAGTCACTCAGGTTATAGAGATTCGAGGCGTACTTCAAGCTGGTAAACATATAAATTACCTGTGTGAGGAGTTTTGGCAAAAGGGGGACTGAATATTAAGCCTAACTTAAATAACTTGGTTAAATTATATTGGTCTCTCGTACATTTCCCACGGTGTATTATTCATTTATTATTTCAGCCTGATGGCCACAATCATTGGGAATATTTCACTGGATGAACATTTTTATCAAATTTTAAGCAGTACCATAATAGAAGTCCATTGCGAATATGGTATGGTACTGCAAAAAGTTGTATACACTGATAAAAATAGTAGTAAATCGAACGTTTTCAAACCTAATATAAACATTTGTTGCTATTTTCTTCATCCATTGCCGTAATTGTTTAATTTCAATACGGAAATATTTTATGAAACAAATTAATTTTCTTAAAAAACTTTTTAAGAAACTTTTTTTTTTAAATGAAGTTGTTTATGTTAATGACGAAAAATGTTAAACGTTAATATTACCTTGGTGTTTGACATTTTATACATAGCTTTAAATGTTTTCAAGTAAATCATTCAAATTAAAAATGTTTTTATTTATCTTTACCATTCCATATTTCAGTGTGGGTGTTCAGTTTTAGACAATTTTTCTGCAATCCTTATATATTTAAATTTATAACTTAAATGTTAATTTGGTGGTGCTGGTCAAGTCCAAATTATATATCGCTCCATAATCCGAAACCGTTTGGCCAGTTGTGAAATCGGAATTTCATTCAGTAATTAACTCCGACTCAGCTGACATGTCGATAAGGCGGTTGATGAATCTGAATCGAAGCCGAATCACCTGCGGACTGATTAGATGATGAGGTGCCAGCCCCTCCTCCAGCTGACGTAGTGGTACAAAGTTTGGCGGACGTCTGACCAGCGGACCACTCACGAGCGGCCCTGGGCTCCCGATCTGCCCGATATACGTCTCCATATATATAGGAATATGTTTCCGATCTCTGCGAGCGTTTTGGCACATTCGAGTGATCGATAGGTGGTTGACGGCTCTGACGCATGTAAAGTACGTTTATTCGTATTATTTCAGGGGATTAGGAGAGGAGACTTATTTCGGTTATCGATATGGGGAAACGGGGGACAGGCCCCAGATTTATATATGTTCATTTTTAATTGTCACCTAAAAAAATATAGAATATAAAATATTATTTCTAAATACATTATTTCCCATTTTAAACTAAATAATAAATACATTTTCATAAATAAACTGGAAGGAACAAGAATTTCTACTTTATAAGAACTTTATAAATTTATTAAATAAGTGCTGTGCTGTTTTGAACTTATTTAAATTTAGACAATGCATAATTTAAGGATATTAATACGTTTATCAGGCCAAAATAAATTGCTTGGACTGTCATAAATGGTAACAGCAATTTACGGGCAATTAAAATGCGCTACCTGATACAATAAATAGTGGGCCACGATAACAGCGATATAAATTATGGCGAAAAGAGTCACGGGCAACCACCTGTTGCAGGTGAGACCGATTAATGCCCCGATAATTAGCCATCCATGGCTACCCGAGGCATTATAATTGTTAAATAAAATATTTCCGATTCCACTCGAGTAGCTGCTGATATCATAGAAATCCCCTGCGTAAGGCACATTTAAATGATAAGAAAAGGCGGCGAGGTCCCCTTTGATGGAGTTCAGCTTCTATTACTCCACAAAAAAAAACACTTCAATTGGAACAGTGGCTTTGTTGATTTATTATTTAAATGGTTAGCGAGCGAGGCAGATAAATAGGATAAATAAATAGGGGTTGTGTTGAGAGAGTGCGAGATTCGTTCGATGATGGGATTCACTTCGGATCACTTTCAGCAGCGCACGCCATCTGCAAGGGATACAGAGATATGGGGTTTGTTAGCACTGGGTGACCAAGGCGTATACGTAACGCGTATACGTGATGCGGCAGAAAATCACATCTCAGATCAGATCAGATCAGATCGAAACACCCACCTGCATTGTAGGCAATGATGCGCCGGCAGTTGCCCCGATGATCGATCATGTGGCACTGGGGGCAGGACTTCTGCATGCCGTGGGTGGCCAGGATCTGGCCGCGATGGATGCCATTCGGCTTCAGGAAGATCACGCGACGCGATTCACTGGGCGTTGGGGCACAGAACACGATCACGGCCCAAAGGCAAAGTGAGTACAGAAGCAGCTGGTGCATCGACATCGTTCCGCTCTCGTTAAATGGGGTATATCTCTGTTATATTATATAGGTTTTTATCTCCGAGGGGGCGCGATAAACAAAAAGTTGGGCTAACCAAGTGGCTTGCTCCAGTGCCGGCAGTTAACTGATTTTATACGAGTTTGGGGTAGCACTTCTTAAGTGCTCTGCCCGCTTGTCTTTTCATTGAGTTGATAAACCGCGAACAGGGTGTCCCCGCTCCCCTTTGGGCCCGACGAGCCGTAGACTTCCCCGACTGGTGGCAAACCACCCTGTTTTCTTGGTTTCAGAGGGAGCCCGGTGGAGCCAGGGGAAATCTTATCTTGTCCTCCATGCCATTTGCAATCTGTGTAATTGAGTGCTTCGCTGGCCCAGCAGTGATTTCTATTCCCGCCCGATGCGAAGTCGAGCGGTTGCCGAGCGAGCGGGCTGGGTATCGTACCGGTATCTAAAAGCAGGGGGATTCGGACCCCATAATATCATCATCTTTGAACTCATTGCATTTGCACAGGACGTGGCCCAAGTATGTCCCCTATTTTCGAGGCGAAAATCAAAAAGGGTCCTTGAGCAAGACAGAACAGGGGATTTTTCCCCGCTCTTCCTAGAAATTTGTATGATTTAACAAGAACTTCAGTATCACCTATAGAACTCAGAACTATACTCTATAAAGGAAAACAATAAGAGACCAACTAAAATCCAATTTGTTCCCTTGATAAATTTGGATAAGATATATTACGCAGTAAGGGATATATATGTTCGTTTTAAGAAGTCATAAAGAATATTTAAAAAAACATTGTTCAAATATCAAGAAATTCATTCTTTGAGAAAGATACTTATAAGCTTTAGGTATCTAAAACTTTAAATCAAAGGCTTTTTAAATTGGTTTTATAAGGATTCAGAAATAAGATATAGTACATAAGTAAACAAGTAAATATTGAGTTAAAAGACCAGAAACTTTAAAGCTGAAAAAAAATGTTTTTAAATTATTTAACGATTAATATTGAATTTAAGGTAAGCATAATATTTAAAGCGTGACTATCTTATCTAAATAATTGAAAGCCCCGCCTTCTAGCGAGATTAACACAGAGCAAAACCTATTGAGCAACAAACTTTCCCGAACGCAAGCCTCACTGAAATAGATAACCCTTATTTTTAGACCTGAGTAAGTACGTGGGTTAATTGGCTTGTGCTCCCCGAATTTTCGGTGTTCGGTGAGTTAGCCAAAATCACTACCTATCTAGTGATGTGGACTAGATAGCGCACAATTCCGGGAGCGCTCTGAACTTTGACAAAAAGATCCAGGGTGATATTTTCGCTGCGTAACGATCGCCGTGTGAGCCATGCGCAATTCCGTGTAAAATTTTTGGCCAATCATCGGGGCTTTCTGGAAAAGCGGTTGGTTCGTGTGGTGGTTCGTGGTGACCACGCGACAGCCCATTGAGTATTCGACGGCAATTGCGGAACGAGGCACGTCACAGATCACACATATTTACCCTCCTTATCGCACCGCACACCGCTGAAATTTCCCGAAAATGTGATTGAATAAGGGTCTTGCCAGAGGAGCAAATAGATATTATAAATATCGTGCTGAGTCAGAAGCGTTCCTCGACCTACCGTTATCTCCTTGACGCCAGAGTTCTCGGGTCTCGTACCCTATATCTAGTATCTTGTATCTTGTATCTGCGGTATCTCTGCACACAAGCCATGGAGCCTAGTATTTCATCATACTTTTCGAGACCGGCGACACGTGATGTGACGTAGTTTCGATTTCATGACGAGGCGCAAAGGTTAACGTCCACTGGGGTAAATGTATCTGGGGTTTTCCATACTTCCTTGGGGCTTATGATATATGTTTATGACAAGGGCATACATAACGAAAGCTTGCACCAACTACTTTGGCGTAGGTCATTTCACTACGTATTTGGGTTAAGAAAAATGTATATTCAAATTTTTTATATATTTTTCGCAAACTATATCTTAATTATTTAAAAAAAAGTTTAATAAAATGTTTTTATGTATGAATATATTTACTAGAAAGGTAAAAAGTCTTGTCAAATAATTGCAAGGCATATACTTTTTCCACATAAAAGTATCTTTATTAAAAAAACATTTAATTTATAGTTACTAACAATACCTACTAACATACAAAATTTACACCTAAAGCTAAGATCGTGTTGCCAAGCAGAAGCGAATAACATATTTAGAAGTTTTCGCTATCTGTCAGTTAGTATTTACAAGATACGTAGACGGTTTGCCTAGGCTTTCGCTTTAATATCCGAGGACGCACAGACTTAAAATAAACACGCAGTTAAAATTAGCTAAGCCCAGTGGGAGATTCCATATTTTTAGACCAGCTAAGAGGGTAAACAAGTTAGGGTGGGTAAGGCAGATGTGATCTGGATCTGGGGAGCACTCACCCTCCTGCAACGCCCATGGTGATCGCGAACGAAGCCGTGACGACAGCGGTTTCCGCGCGTGTCGAAGAGCATTCCCTTGCCCAGGGCGCCGGTGGTGTTCTTGGCCGCCTCCTGGGACTGGGTGCTGTTCAGTTGGTTGAAGTAGATCACTTTTCCCGACCCGCTGCACGAAGAGCCCAGCAGCAGAACCAGGAGCAGAAGTCCGGCGGACAGCAGTACGGATCGCATCTCGTTCGCAGAGGTTCCCAATCGCACTGAGCTGTTTTTGCCAACTTGCCGCCGCCCGACGATCCAGCTTATCACTTTTAGATTAGCTTGTTTACCCAGAGACACGAGTGTATGCCCAGTTTGGCTGGACACTCCAGAATCTCGTCTCCCATCTATCTATTTGGGAGGATGGTTTTTGCATACTTTCAGGCTGCCTCTTGGAATTGGTAAGATTATAAGTATTGGTACCCTATATCAAGTCTTTTAAAAAATATTACAACTCTAGAATTTCAATTGTCTTTATAATTATTAAAAATACTAAACGTTTCTTGAAACATACCCTTTTTCAAGTACTAATCAAAAATGTATACAAGCTATAGTTAACTAATATATAATCGTTATAATAATTTAAAATACCTCTCTTTAAAAGTATTCCCAAGGTAAAAATGAATATTCCAAGAGTGAAAAGGTTGACAGACCTTTTTGGCAAACGTTTTTGAATGGCTTTAGGTGAAGGTTGTCTGAAAATGTTCTATGCTTTAATGGGACAAATGTCAAACTATGACAATGTAAGAGCTTGTTCGTAATGGGTTTAATAAAAATATTTTTTTGGCACAACCAAGCCCATTTAATAATGTAAAGGGAATCGAAATAATACCTGAATTCATCGAGAACTACCCCTAGATCTTAAGTTTCGTATATTTGTTTTATTTTCAATTGTTTTATCGTCTTACATCACAATGAGGAACTCTAGTTTTGTCTGTTCTCTGGCTTTTTGTGTATTTTTCTAGACCAAATCTCATCGTCTTGGGTGGCTTTTTCGGGGTCTGGTAGGTTTTCTTCTATCGTGCGGTGGCGCCCGGCGCTGCTCGATACGCACAATTATCGGGATCTACAGTGATGAGCTCTGTGGATGGCAGATTAAATAATATTATTTTATAAAAACAAATGTTTTAAAAATTTAATTTTTTATATTAAGGTTTTGGTATAGAAAAGTTATAATATCTGAGTTTAACTTTACAGCAAAGTAATTTGAGTAAAATGTGGCTAATCCTGATCTGCAGATATGTTATTCCTCTATAATGGTAATGGATAAAGAATATATGATATGACAGTAAAGAATACTTGAAAGTACTATCATCAGACGTAGGATTTTATGCAAAATCAGTTTCGTAACACCCGGAGATCATCTGAGATCCACGAAATCTTTATAAAAACATTCTTAACCCATCAATCTCTTCAGTATATCATGTTTAATAGTTCGTTATTGTATTATATTATTCATTGTATTGTATTATATAGTCACCCCAACTCACCTTGGGCCGCATCCTTGCCGCAGCTGCGTTGACTAGGGTTCCTGGGCCTGCCCCTGGACCTGCGTGGCTCCTGCTCCAGATCCCGCTCCTCCTCCTCCGAGGTGGAGAGCGTTCTCCCCTGCGGTCTCCGGCGAGTCGCGGCCTGCACGACACTGGCTGGAGCCTGTAGAGCCTTGGGCACCTGCTCCCGCTCCAGATCCATCTCCTGCTCCAGGATGTTCTCGCTGGAGGAGTGCTTCGGGGGACGACGGCGGCGATGCCTCAGCCGCTGGGAGCTGAAGCTCTCCTCGCGGATGACCAGGGTGCCCGCCTTGCTGGTGCGCAGGAAGTAGCGCGGCGCCTTGACCACCTCCTCCTCCTGGGCGAACTCCGGCGAGGAGTGCCTGCCCTTCGAGAGGCTGAATCTCTCGAGGATGGAGCTCTGCGAGCGGCGGTAGCGTCGCTTCTCCCTGGGGCCCGAGCTCGAGGAGTTCAGCGTGGAGGTGGAGGGCGGCGTGGGATAGACCAGCAGGTCCTCCGCCTCCTGGAAGCGAACTCCGCGCAGGGAACTGGAGCGCCGCGAGCTCACCGAAGAGGGTTCCCAGTTGGGCAGTTCGTGGGTGCTGAAGTCGATGCAGCTGCCGTGCGTTTTCCGCCGCCCACTCTCCCGGCTCGAACTGGGCGTGGCCGTGGGCGTGGGGGTGGGCGTGGCCGAAGGCGTTGCCTCGGCTATGTGCAGGCCATGGAAATTGCGCTCCAGGCTCAAATTGGAGGTGGCCGAGCGCTTGCGGCGCCTCTGGGGCTGCCGGGATGTGTAGGTCTGCTCCTCCTGGCCATCGGCGTCCACCAGGAGGTTGCCCGTGTGATCGTAGAGGAGGATCCGGGGCAGGGCTATCTGGCTGCAGCTGCGGGAGGTGCTTAGCTCCCAGTTCCAGTGGCTCGGCTTCTTCAGCTTCAGACTCAGCAGATTGGCCAGGGGATCATCTTCCCCCTCATCCTGCAGAGCCTCGTCCTCCTCTTCAGCTTCCTGGGACATTGCAGCTCATCAGCTGGGGTCTCTTCGCAGCGGATGTTGTGGGTTCCTCCACCTACAGGTCGGATGGGCTTGATCTTTTGGGGTCTCCGTTTCCTTCCACCTGTTGGCCGTCCGTTCTGCTCTTGTTCGATCTGCCTTTAACTGCTGCTGCTTCTTCTTCGTTCACGGCTGATCTTCTGGCTCTTCTTCTTCTTTTGGCCTTTGGCCAATTTATTGTTTATCTCAACTGTGCCCGTACAGGCGGCACTGGATAGAAGGTCTTTTGAAAAATCTTTCAACGATTTTTGATTTCTTTGTATTTTAAGGCTTATAAGGCTTGCATTTTCTTTACAACTTAATTTATGTATTTTCATACGTTTTCCTTAGCCTGGCTTTACTGTCCCCTGAATGCTGCCCACGCTTCAATTATTTTTGGCTTCTTTTTTCCGAATCTTCTCTCTTTTATGTTCTGCTATTTTTAGTTGATCTGCTCCCAGAGGCGTCCCCGTTCGCTTTCCCGATTTCCCTATTTTCCCGACTTTCTGGTGACACTTGAGTGGGCCACACTGTGCCACTTCTTAGGGCCTTCACAAAAAATATAAAAAAATAACAGGCCCAAGAAAACAGCACACAAAACTGAGTTTTATGGGCTGGCAAACAAAAACAAAGCTATATTTTCCGAAGACAGTTTATATTGTGGCGCTGTCTCGCTCGCACTCGGCTGCTGCCCCAGCGCGCCCTCTCGCTCCGACTCGCGTCTGCCGTCTCGCTCTATTCCGTGATCTGCGATCAGCTGCGATCGCGTTGAGTTCCGCCCGCCAACGTGCCTCGTAGCCAACTGTTCGTCTTGGCCGCATCTCGCGGCCCAAAAAAAAGCGGGCGCCCCTGCCCCGCCCCCTGTGCCACCCCACACCCACTCCGCCCCGAAAAGGGGGAAGGGGGGGGGTGAAAAAAAATAAGACCCACTGGCAATTTGCATATTTCACGCTCTCACAACGAGCACTTTTCGTAGCAGATCAGCCGAAAGATATCTCAACTTGAATACCCTTGCAGATCGGTTCCTAATATTTATCATCTTTTCTACAATATCATTTTAAGAATTTAGTATTTAAAAAGATTATGTTTCTTATATATATTATTACCTAAGTATTACTGATAACAATCTTAAGCACTGTATTAAAAGCAAATATCCTTATAATCACAAGTACTTCACAAATAACCATATAGTATTATTGCTCAGATATTTAAGTGGATTTTTATTAGTAGTTACTATTATAGCAAAAAGACCCTAAAAAATGTTTAACCAACCAAATGTTATATAATCTAAAGGAATTCCATCCATATTAATAACGAATGCTGAAAAATGTAAATTGATATAGGTTAGGAAGTAGGATAGGTTCTATAACCGTTGTAAGCCCTGGATAATTAATCACAATTTAAGTGACAATATAGTTTTTTTCCCCCGAAACACGAGTATTCCCCCACATTGACACCGCTTATCCGCGTAATCCCCTAAAACATGTCACCAATTAATATTTCGCAAGCATTTCACCGAAAGGCCCCTTCGCAAAGCCCCACTGACCACTGATCAAAGTGATGATGCCCCCGCTCGAAGCGTATGCATATTTTCAGTGTGTTTCTTCACAACATTTTTGTTTATCCATCCCGTGCCACGCCCCGCGGCCGCCCACTTTCCGAACCGAGGAAAATACACAGTTTTCTGTTATGTTATTGGGAAATGACTGAAACATATGTGGCCGCCGTCGCTCGGCTAATTTGCACCGCCCTGCCCCCGAATGCCCCACGCAGCATTTTGCCATTGAAAAATGACAAACAAACAGGGGCAAAAGAAAAAAGAGATGGGTAGAAAGAAACGCAGAGAAAGTAAGCGAACTGGGAAAATATGTATGGGGAAAATGACTTTTCACATATTTCCCATCTGCCCGCCGAGCATATCGATAGGCGAGGTCCTGACACTGCCGAATGAGTCAGCTGCTGGGGAATTTGTAACCCAAGGGAACCGATCGAGGGCATATCGATTACAAGGGATCCATAAATGTAATGTAAACAATATTATTTATAATCGTTAGAAGAAATCTTTGTTTTTTGACATGTAATGCAGATTGATTGGTTTACTATATGTCTGCTTTGGTTTATTTTCACAGCATTGCTTATTTTTCGGTTTCTTCTTTGAGTCCTTGAGCTCACTTAAATTAGAAAACAACCTTTTGTATTTTTTTTGCAGTTATTATATTCCATTTAGGAACAGTTGTTAGTAGCCGTAGTTATTTAACAATCCGTGTGTGCTATGTTTTTTATACCCTATAATTTCCTGTGTTGTTTCTAGTTTTGTAAACAGTACAGTAAAACAGTTAAAAAAAGTCTTATACCCATTTATTAAATCATACGAACTTTTTAAATGGCTAAATAACATTGTTTACAATCTTTTATATTTATTAAAAATGGATATTATTCTTTTTACATGCTGGCTATATCAAAGAATATACATTTGAATATTTGCTAAACAGTGAGTCCAAAATTTGTTTATTTATTTGTTTTGCGCCTCGGTGATTCCGATATGCCCAATAAAACGGGCAGCAGAATAACCTGCCAATTTTCGCCATCTGCCTCCCCCTCTCCCTCTTCAGGGGCGCCCTGGGAAAGGGGGCGGGGCATTTAGCCAAGCTCGTGGCAATTATGTTTGCGGCTAATTTGTTACGCGTCCGTGGAGGAAATCTAATTTATGCGGACATTGATGCATCGTCACGAGGCGTGGGCCGCAATTAACCGGAGCAGACCGAAAGTATGCAACACTTGGCGGGCTCTTGCCCGATTCTTCCGCCCCACCAGCCCCTCCCCCAGGGTCCAAGGTCAGAGGGTTATCGAATTTGATAAGCTTCCGCACAGTTTTCATTCCGTTCCGTTCTGCGAGCGAAGCTCACAAAATAGTTGAACCGCAGACTACGCGATGAGCAGATCCTCGATTCTGATTCTCCTGCTCCTGGGAGTCTCCTGCCTGGAGATTCTTCAGGCCCGCTCTCTTCCGGAGGGCGAGCGCCACAGGTTCGTGCGCAGACGCATCTCCCCCGACGATCCCGACCTGGAGATCATCGAGGTCAAGGAGGTGTACTATGTGAGGCGGCCCAAAAAGGTGGTGGTGCCCCTCGATGAGGACGAAATGGACTGGCGGATCCGCTGCGACTTTGAGCCAAGTCTTCCGGAGTGTAAGAAGAGACCTCGAAGAGAATTCCACTTCATACATCAGATTATACCATACTCAGGGTCATCTTTAGTATACTAAATATGGGCTTACTTCCTTCTAGGCAGGGACTTGATAAAGAGACCTGTGGTGGCTCCCACCACTAAAACCACAACTACAACCACTCAGGCGCCCACTAGCACCACAACCACCACTCGCAGAACCACCACCACTCCAGAACCCTTGAGGGATGAGTCCATGGAGCGTAGGATTCGCTGTGAGTTCGATCCCACGGCGGAGGAATGTGAGTTTATATTACACTACACACATTTGAACTCAACTTTACACATGAGTTTTTTTTGATTTTAAGGTGCACCTTCAACCACTTCTACTACAACGACCACTACGACAACCACCACCACGGAATCACCTATTGTCCCAGAATTCAATGATCCCGAATATGAGTCGGAATCCAAGACTCTTCCGGAACTTAACGATCCCGAAACTGAAACCGAACCAGAACAGGAAACCGAACCACAAAGTGATACGGATCCCGAAATCGATTCAGAAGGCGCCAAAGAAGAGGTCACTGAAGAACCAAGTCCGGAAGATGTTATCCCCTTGGCCGATGACGATGGCGAAAGCGATGATAACGACAATGAGGACCTGGAAGATCAAGAGGATGATGCCGACTTGGAAGATATATACGATGTCAATCCCAACGAGGGAGAAACCCACTCAATCGGGGCTCACGAAACCGGCGCTTGGAACTAGAGTCAACACTGATAGTAGATGATACGGAAAGTTCGATTTAATTTGTTGCTTTAATTGGGTATCAATAAAATTACAACTTTGGAACCAATAATGTTTTCCCTATATAAACATGTTGCGAGGGTTGATTAAGATGTTCATGTGGCAAAGTAAGACGGTGTTTAGTTGTCACTTCCGTTGGTTAGCTATAATATATAAATGGAAAATATTTTATTTATCTGTGGACTATGCATAATAATCCCAATATATAACATATGGCGATGAACATATGGTGGATAAATGCATTATTATGGGGACAACAAATCTTGTTTAAAATACAAATAGCTAAGGATAAGAAAAGATAAATATACTTTAAGCTCCTTTATCACCTATGGGGCCTATCCTATCCCTCGAATTTTCGCAGTTCTTCGAGAATGTCTTATGGCCTCGCCAATTGTTGCATAATCACTAGCTCGTGCCATTGTGGGTCAATTCCAGATCAGTGCGTCTGAGTCGGGTGTAAATACCAATTGAACGCATCTCGCCTAGTATGGTATATATACTATATAGTCCATAGTCTATAGTCTATTTATAAGGCATATTTGTCACAGCTTCCGGCTCGGCGAAAAAGTACGTGTTTATTTATGTGGCGAAACGTGAAAAACAAAGTCAAAGCGATTGGGAAGAAGGCGGAAAAGGGATATATTATCCGAGGGATATATATCTTTATCTGTATCTGTATCATTGCGTATCTGTATCTTTGTCGAGCTGTGCTTAAATCAGCGCACAATTGCGATGATTGTTGCCGTTCGCCAATTGAATTAAAGAAAATGCGAAGCAAGTGACACACAAAGGCGACGGCGATTCGAATAAAATGGGTGGAAATCGAGGCGCCCCAGGTCAGTCTCAGCGGAGTCGGCGTTCAGTCTGGTTTTGTGGATAAGCCAAAGGAACCGAATAACAAACATATACCTTATATACCTTATACATCGCGATGAATAGCTTGCAAGGATCCCTTGTCCTGCTCCTGCTGGCCGGAGCATTCCTGCAGAGCCGGGCGGGACTCTTCGATTGCGAGGACAAGATTCCCGGACTGGGCGATGTGAGCGACAAGATATCGGAGATCACGGGAAGCAGCACCAGTTCGGAGCACGAGGTGCGGGACTTCTTCAAGAACGTGGGCTGCCACATCAAGGAGGGGGCCAAGAAGCTGGGCGAGAAGGCGAAGGACCTCGGCTCGGGGCTCAAGGAGGGCGCCCAGAAGCTGGGCGAGAAGGCCAAGGTCCTGGGCAGCGACCTCAAGGACCGCTTCGACGACTTCCGCGACAAGCTGGCCAAGGACTCCGCCGAGGAGATGAGCAAGGATCGCGGCTTCCTGGCCAACGTGGAGATCATCAACCCGGACATCCTCAAGGGCGAGCAGCAGTGCGGCCACGGCCACATCCTGGATGCTTTGGGCAACTGCAGCAAGTTGAGGAAGTAGTCCTCCGGGAGAGTCCTCCGCCTTGCCCCCTCCTCCCCTAAATGCTTAAGTTTTTTTATGATTTTTTTTTGTGTAAATAAAAATGAAAAGTGAAATACACACCTCGTTTCTTGGAATATTTTAACGGAGGGAAATGTTCAGCTTTATTACCTCTGTTTGTTATACAATGGAATATTTTTATAGTATTGATTGATACGTATTTTCTTATATTGCTTTTATTGCCCAAATTTATGTGTGTCCCTGTTCAAGAACCTTAATTTGCTGTCTCCCTCTTATTGATGACTTTTTGATGACTCATAGTTGTAGTAAATGGGCTTACGAAGTTTTATGCACATGTTTTTAAAGTATCTCTTCGATTTAATGAAGAACCATCATTATTACATATTCAATATGTAATCAAAATATACTAACTAGCTGTCTAGTTCTAACGATAGTAAGAAAAATACTTAAAACATAGGTAATAATAAAATCATTAAAAACAAAAATTACTGTTCTTGATTCCTTTAAAGATTTGAAAATAGGATCATTTCGACACCGCTTAAAAATCTAGTTGATGGATTAGTCACCTTTGCTATTACTCCAAGTACCAATGAATCATCCTCAATTCGCGTCTTTTCTCTTCGACACTTTCTGGAGAATTCTTCGTCTCTCCCGGCCTTTCCCATTTCTGCGGTCCCTCTTTCTCTTTCTCTGGGCCTCTCTTCTCGCTCGCCTAAAATGCATTTCAGTGGCCCGACGACTTTCTCGCCGAGCTTCGCCTCTCGAAGACCCAAAGCCCAGCCCAAAAGCCACCAGATACCCAAGAACTTGGTCAACTACTGCGGCTGCAAACGGGTTTCAGTCGAGTTTGGGGCCTCCGCGGCGATACACGATATTCGAGATTCGAGATCCACAAACGCGATGACTAATTCCCTGATAATCGCAGTGTTTTTGGCCAGCCTGTGCCTTTGTTTTGGCCAAATGCAGGCAGCCTCGATTGTCTGCGGCTCCGAAGCCAAGTCTGCAGGGGATTCGGGCTCGGATTCGGATGTGGATGCGGTGACCACTCCCAGTCCCAGTGAGGTCAACAAGTTCGTCCACAGTCTGCAGTGCACTCTGGAGAAGGCCAAGCCCTGGATAGCCAACATCGAGAAGGAGGCCAAAATCTTGGAGGAGAAGGCCAGGGATGTGACCAGGTCGCTGTTCCAGCGCATAAACATGCTGGTCAATGTGCTGGCGCTTCCTGCCAACTCTGAAAAGGATAAGGAAAAGGATAAGGAGCCTGAGAAGGAGGTCACCACCACCACCACCGCCGAGGAACCTTCCTCCACTTCGGAAACATCTAGTTCCTCCAAAAATGATTTGAAGGAGGAGCAAACCACCTCTTCTCCGACTCCGGTTCACTTGGACTGGCTGGAGGATCATGCCAATGAGGTGGACTACGTCCCAGAGAAGAATTAGATAAGCCATATACCTACAAATATTTATAATAATTAATAAAGTTTCCAGGTCTTACAAGGCATGGAGCATTTCCTATTTATGATAAAGAAGCGTCTAACTGTTATTACAATATATTATTATAATATTCCCCTCTTTTATATATTATTTTTTTGTTACTCAGACCTATATACTGTATTGTATTTAGCATAACTGGAACCCCGAAACTTGTTCAGCGCATCGAGCCAATTGGGTTACGGTTCTTAATGAACCGCTTCCTCCCCCCGGTGACTCACGATTATGATTCTTTCTTGACTTTCTCTTCTGGACTTTTCTGGCCACTGGGGCTACTGGCCAAAAATAAACAAACAGCCTGCCGACTGAAGCCCTGCAACTCTGGCATAGCTGGTGAGCCGGTTTTGGTTGCGAATGGGTGTGAATCATGAGCCAAAGGCTCTTTGCCCGCCTCGATCTCACATCAATTGCTAATTGCCAGTCGTCGGGAAAGATGCAGCTTCTGGGCACCTGCGCACTCCTGACAATCATCGTCATGGTCGCCCTGTCACTGCCCATCGTCCAGGCGATTGTCTGGTCGGGATTCGGGTGTTCTGCGCGGGATCATCGGGGCTGCTGCTACAACTGGGTGAATCCCAAGCGACCGAGGCCGCCATGTGCCCCCCAAAACAGGAAGAGCTAAAACCTAACGAAAAACATTTTTTTAAATATTTAGAGCCCCAAAGGCACAAGGGAAACATCACAACGCACTGCAGATTCACAAAAAAAAACAAGAATCCCACAAGTTCAATGAGTTCTATACTTAAGATTTTTTTCTAGTGAACAAGGTGAAATCTTTTAAAAAATAAACAATCCCTAGCTCAGCCAACACACAAACAAAATAATTGTTTTTCTGTGAAACCTTATCAGTATCAAAACACTATAAAGCTGGTCTGACATAGCGAATAATGGGCTGAAAATAATATTTGATTTAGTGGTAAAATTGGGTGTTTAATGGCAGTATATAAACATTGTTTGGTGAATCGTAGAGCCCTCGTGACTTCGCCAATTGTTGTTGATTATCCCTTAATTTTGTGTGCAATTTGTTGAAGCAATAGGTACGAGTTTTTATATATTAACGTGTTTTTCTGGATTTTTTCGCGAGTAGCCTTGCTTTTTGAAAGGTTTTTTGTTATATTTTTTAGCGTAAACTTTTTTATTACAGCTTATGTTGGAACTGGCTTGGATCATAAAAAATATATATAACCGACCTAAACTTTTTTAAGAGTCATACAAATGAAAACAATTAATTTGAAATTGGAGGAACTATATATTTATACATGGAACAAAAAATCTTGCTAGTCTGATATTAATTGAAGCTTAAGTTATTCAAATTGATTTGTGGATTTAACTTATAGAAGTACACTTTAATTCAAAAGCAAAAGTACAGCTCCTTATATTATATTGTTATTATATTTTAGTGTCAAATTGGTTTTTTCAAACTCAAGTAGAATTTCTCGCTGTGCACTGGAGCTGCTATTACAACAAAGCTAGAGCAGTTCGCATTGAGTGAACGCCGAACGAGCGAGCGCACGAACGCAACTTGATTGGGGCTTATTTCAGCCAGGGGCGTGCAGGGGGAACTGGGCCCCTGGCAAGGGGATGGGAGGGGGGCCTAACCGGTTGCCGGAGAACCGGAGAATCGGAGATCGGAGACCGAGATTTTTAGATCGTAGACCGCCGATTCGGAGCGGACCGATCAGTCGCGTTGTCAAGCTGAAAGCGTCGAGATGAAATCGCTAGTGGTGTGCTCCCTGATCGGATTGGTGCTCCTGGTGGCCGGTGGCCAGGTGCGCGGCGAGTGCGACGAGGTCAAGGCTCCCGAGGAGAGCGACTTCAAGCACTTCTTCAAGAACCTCGGCTGCAAGGTCAACCAGGGTGCCAAGGATGTGGCCGAGGCCGCCAAGCCCTACACGGACAAGATCGGCGAGGGCGCCAAGGAGTTTGGCAGCTCGGTGGCCCAGAAGTACGACGAGCTGAAGCACAAGCTCACCGACGAGGCCTCCACCACGCCCAAGATCCCCGTGACCTATGACGCCCCCACCGAGAAGGTCCTTCTGGCCCCCATCGGCGGACCCAGCTCCCCGGCCCCGTGAGGTCAGTCCCGCCTAAAAGTCCTGATCCCAAAATATCCCATCCACTAACCAGCTTCTCTTGCCATTTCAGGTATCTGATGGAGTTCCGGATGGAGGTCCCCTCTTCGTTGCATAAGTTTCTTTGTTTTTTTTCTTGTGATCTATATAAAAATAAAAGCTAAATCAAGTGATGTTGGAATCGTGACCTGTGTTTTTGCGATTTACTAAATTGCTGATAAGTGGGGACTAGCTGGGGATCACAGATCGGTGGTTATCAGTTCGGAGCTAATTAACTCAGGCAGACCAAGAAAAAATGTGCTGGGAGATCTTTGAACCACAGAAGGCTGATTACAAATTACGTCAATTCAAAGAGAACAATTTCATTTAATCAGTTCATAAAATATACAAGTATAGGGAAATTTCCATTTTAAATAAACTGGAAACATGTGTCTTGATCAGTTCATGTAAACAAAGAATAATATTTGGGAAATATTTATCATAAATAAACTGAAAACTTGTAGTAGTCACGATATATCTTATTTGATTAACCCCCTTTTCGCAACAAAAGACAGTTCAGTGTACTTTTGCCTCGAGAACACAATATTATTGGGAAAACAGAGGAACAATAGCCATCGAGACATTAAAGCAATAAACATTTGGCACGGAGGGCAAACCGCAAGTGATTTACATTTGAATCGTAATTATTCAAATTAAAACCGCATTGTAAACAATTACTTCCGAGAACTCGGAGGGAACTCAAGCGCAGAAACACTCATTCGAGATCATAAAGACAAACATCGTGTGGCGACCGTCTCTCCATCCATCTACAACCTTCACTCACTCCAGATCCAAATTATATAGTCGAGATGCTGCCGATCAGTCACCATGACGGGCAGTTCGTTTATTTCACTGGCCTATAATTTATGGGTGGTTTTTAAGAGTTTGCATGGGGATAATATATGTATTCTGAAGTGATCTAGTTTCGGGCCAGCCTGCTCTTTTGTGAAAGACAAAGATGCGATAGGGTAAAATTTTAATCTCCTAAATATACAACTACTGGCTTATAAATATATAATAATAAAATAATATAATAAATACTATTTAAAGCAGTACAAATATTTATTTAAACGCTCTCAAATCAATTCCAAAAATATATTTGATAAAAGGATTTCGTAGTAAAAGGACTTAAGAGATATAGTAATCATTACTAAATGGAAACAGCCATAGCACTATTTTCAATAGGGTTATAACTAAATTCTGAGACCTTTTACCCCGCGTAATCTGAGATATTTCCAGGGTATTTCCCCTGCTATATGCACAACACTTTTTATTGCCTTATGATGATTGTCTTGTCATTCGGAGCTTGTTTACATTTCGGTCGGTTTCAACTGCTGTTTGATCGCCTTGCCTCGCTTAGCTAATTCATTTATTCACTTATGAGTGCGGATGTCCCAATGTCAGGCCGAAAAAAACTGTAGATTTATTCGAACCGAATGTCATGACATTTTCAGCATGCCAAGTAGGATTTCCCGATCGATTGATCGAATTACGGCTTGTTTTTGCCGCTAATTGAATGAGTTCGCCGGGTACTTACATGGATCTTACGTAAGTGGGGGCATTACTCATAAGGCCTGAACTTTGGCACGTCGCCCAGATGCGAAACTTCCGGACTGGACTCCGGTTTTTAGTGTTTTTTCGGCCAGAGCTGTTAGACTAATTGTTCTATTGTGCAAATTACTCATAATTGCACATGCGTCGCAGTGCCAAAACCCGAAACAATTAAGGCAATCAGCATACACAGCCAACTGACTCACATGTCACAATCAACAAATAAAAACTGCCAACGAAAATAAACACTTCACATAAATCAGATTATCACTTTGGGCTTTGAAAGCAGAGCTGAAATTGCAGCCGTATGTTTGGGGGGAGGGGGTTTTGTTTTCAATGGAATGGAGTGCCAGTTGTTTAAGGGAAAATGACCAGAACAATATTTTCATAGCAATTCACGAGCAAAGCGCAATAAATTATTCACTCGGAATTTATTTTCATTCGGGCAGTGTATGTTTATTTTCGAGATTTTTTGCTTTTTGGCCTGCAGATATTTTTAATAACCATCTGGCACATAAAATATTTACCATCGTAAATAGTTTTTACAAAATTTAATAACTAATAATGGTTTTAAAAATATATTCCCTGTCTTCCAAAAACTTTAACTTAATGTGTTATATCCCAATGGTTTTGACAATCAAATGGCGAAATAAATGTTAAAGTGTAGGGGAATCTGTTTATCTGAGAGATATTTCCCCCGGCATCTGCAGCTGCAACTGCTCGCCACTTTCGATAAGTTTCCGGCTGGCAAACATTCGCCTGGTATTTTTTGGCTTTTCCGTTGTTTTCCCCCGGCAGAAGTTTGCAGACAAGGCAGGTTGCTCATACGCACAGTTGCACCACAAGGCAGTTTTAGGTGCTTCCAGGGGGGTTTTCAAGGGGGTTTCAGGGGGGTTTCAGGAGGACTTTCAGGGGGGAACGACAGTCATTACCGCCAAAGTTTTGTCGGCCAACGTACTTTCGAGACAGCCATCTCATGGGCATCGAATTATGACACTTTTAGTGGTTTCTGCTAACTATGCGGCGGCCAAAGGAGCCGAACAGGACGAGGAGAAAGGAGAAAGCAGATCCTGCAGAGGGCAGACAGGACCCAAAACTGTCTTTGTATTTTACCAAGTTTTGCCTTTTGGATTTGTTTGCAACTTTACTTCGATTTCAGCCAACACAAACTTACAGCCTTTGTAGGGAAAAGCGGCAGAAGTATACAGGGACCTCTTTCTGAATTCATATTCATTGAAAAACTAAATAATATCCCAAGAAATAAGAATAAGTATACTAAATTATCTTCTACCAACAAAATATTAAAATTTTATTATATTATTAATTATTTCTATTTATTTGACCTAACAACAACCAAACGCATACTTAGATCATTTCTTACAATATTAGTTTAATCATATGTATATATATTTACAAAAATAATAAATATAGGTACCCATAGAAACCCAACAAAAATCCAGAGATAGACCTTCAATTTCTGTTTAGTTTTCCCGGTCTTACAATGTTTTCATTTTCATCCTTGTCCTTTCTGTTACTCTCTTCCGCTTCGGTGTTTGTTTTCCGCTTTTTTCGGTGCTCCTTTTTTAACTTAAAAGTTTATCAATAAAATTATGACAGAAAACTTTTTAATTTGACACACAATAGTCGTAGACACGAATCCGCATGCGTTCGGGGACACTTCCCCATCCGCACTCACATCCGCCTTTTATTCGATACACTAAATGTACGTAGTTGCGAGAATGCTAGCAAATAAATAAGCAAAAAACAGGGGAATACAGTCATCAGCCTATCACAGAGATAACTATCTTGGGGCACTGGGAAAGGGGGCGTGGCTCAGCCCTTGAGACTCTTCAGCTTGTTCTTCTTCTCCACCGCCAAACTGTTGGCGAACTGTTTATCGGCCTCCGATTTGTACTCAGCCAGATTGTATTTGGTGGCCTGGAAAACAGAAAAATATATTTGAAATCATAAGATAGTTTAGAAAGTTATGTTAAAAGGGGTATTAGGTATTGCATTTCGGGAGATCTATGATCCAAATATCATTTGTAGGCTTTATTGTAACTCAATTTGTATTTTAAGGCCATAGCTTGATAGCTTGATTTTCGATTTATTTTGGTTATTTTATATGTTCACAAAACATTTTCAGGCCTTAGTTTTAGTTTAGTTTCGAAGACCTTTTTAAATAAAATCAGTGTCATAAGGCCTTATACTAGTTTGCATAGGACATGTGAAGGGTAGCTTTTCGAGTAATACATATAGCTTTATTTAGAACAGTTGAGTTGGATGGATTTACATTGAAAACTGGTTTACATATATTTCAGCAAATGTTCTCCTTTGGTGCTTTGCGAGGACTAAGTTAAGTATCTGGTAACACTACCAAATGAAGAGGTTTGTCCACACTATCGATACATGTTGTTCATACATATTGTAATGTTATAAAATATATTACTACTTTAAAGTAAGTATAATTAAAATTATACTATACTTATTACTTTAATGACTAAAAAGTACTTACGTTAAGGGCGGTATCGAACTCGGTCATGGCCAGCTTCTGAAGACCCCGGAAGTTCCTGCCCAGGATGCGACCCAGTTCGTATCGGGAGATCGTGAAGGCCTCCGTGGTGGTGGGCTCCTCGCTGTTACTGCCGCTCTCCTCGCCGCTTATAGACTATGGTAAAAATATGTATACACCATATATAGATTATATTCTTCGGCAACCCTGCAATACTCACAGTTTTCTCGGTCGTCACCCTAGGACGACTGGTGGGTTTCTCGGGACCCGGATCGCTGAACTGTTCATTGACAGTATTGTATATGTCATTCAGGGTGTTACGTGTGTCCGTGTATTGCTAGAAATGGTATTCAGTATGTAAGAAAACGCAACTGGGTATTACAACTCACATCCACTATGAGGTTCTTGGTGATGACCATCTTCTGGAAGAAGTCCCAGAAAATCCCACGCTTGTGCCTTATGCGGGGTGCATCCCTGGAGCTGGGATCCGCGGCCTGAACCAAGGCCAGGCTTATAAGCAGGGTGCCGACAACCAGCAACTTCCTCCTTTCACCGAACTGCATGCTGCGAATATAAAAACACATATATTTCATTATGGCCGGGCTCTTTGCGTGATTAATCCATTGCAAATTGCATCGATCAAAGGCAGATTCTGTCATCGGCCAGCGGAATAACGACGGCAATAGAAGTGACACGCCCCCGCAGAGGCGGTGCATAAATCATGTTCGGTGACAGCTCTCAAAAAGGAGAACAGCAGCGGCAGAAAGCGAAATTGAAATGGAAATTCGCGAATGGGGAGCTTCGCAAAAACAGGGGTCAATGGTAAAAGGCATTGGGTGTCAGCGAAACGGGTCGAAATAAACACCATAAAATGCTGTGCTGTACAACATATTTTTTACATATTTTGTAAAAATACTTTTACAGCTTAGGGGCATCTAAAGAGTTTATACCTACAATGGAATTTAAGGCTTTAATAAATCTACATAAATATATTTCTTTGTAATATTGGTTGTATCTAATATTTTATAGTAAATCAACGGTATAGGAAGTTGAGAGGATTAAATATCTTATAATTTTAAAATTGAAACTAAAAACGTAGAAGTTCTGTAATGAGTCCCCTGAAGACGTCCCCCATTTCTAATCACTGAGACAAATTTCCAGCCTAATTGAAATACCTCGCCAACTACAAGGAATGGTAATTGCCCAGTGGAAAATGGGAAACTGCTTTTCTCTTAGCATAATTGCATCAGAAGGCGGAGTTTCCACCGCGCCCCCTGAAAGTATGCAGCCGAAATTGTGTGACAATCAAATTTGCAATATTTAGTCAACTTTTCCGCTGCCACGGGGAAAGTCCCTCGCAAATTGTGTAAAATGCACATTTTTTCACTGTTTGCTTTTAATGCGCGTAATTAGGAAAATTGCCAAAGTAGCTTAATACATTTTTACATTTTAATTGCATTTCTGCCGGCCGAACGCAATACGCAAAAGTATCCAAAATATTAAAATGCCATTTAATGTCACAATGCGGCTGTGTGCTGTGTGTTTCTGCGTTATTTAAGCCCCTTTGGGCCCAAAGAGTTAATAGAAAACAGCAATTGGCCGCGGGCAAAGGCCAAAAACTGTCCGCTTAATTGTTTGCCCATAATTTTCAATGCAATGCGAAAATAATTTAAATTATTTCAATGCCACCCCGGCTGAGCAAAAAATCACAAAAAAACAATGATTATATTATATTTTTGCTACATTTTGCAGCATTTTGTGTCCGATTATGCCGCAATTGAAAATGCAATGACCTCTTTAGCCGGAAAGAGAGGGCAAGTGTAGCATTGATGAAATTATAGTCGGAATAAATTGCACAAAATATGTAAAAATTTTATTGAAATCGTTTGAATCAGTTTCGGGCTTTGTGCACTTCCATTTGCAAAATTAAATATAATTGAGGTATATATGTTTTCTAAATACAATGCAACGAACAGTGGCTCTCTTTCAAATGCACTTTTTTCCCCCAATTTTCTGAGTATTTCTTTCAGTGTGGCTAATTGAGCAGCTGACGGCAGAGTTGGCGCATTTGATTGGATTGTTGGCCATTTGCCGAAAACGTTGGCACTTCATTTTCCCCATCACGCGGGAAAATCTGATTGATGGCGGGGGGAAAGGGTATCCATTTCCCGTCGATGGGGATGAGGTCAAGTCTGCTGAGTAGCATAACGAAATTCCCAATCAAAATCTGTAGCACTAAAATTACACCAAAACACAGGCTTATGTATTGGGGAAGATGGAAAATGGGCCAATTTTGATACCCTTTTGATTGAGTTGGCCAACCTTAAGGTTATTCCAGTATATTATCCATGTGGATATGAGTACCAATTTTCATATCATTCAGATCGGTAGTTTGAGAGGTATACAAAATTGATAAGGATAATAATAATATTAGGGAAGTTCGATTATAAATTCCAAGATTCTCGTTGTTATAATAATTGATTTCTATATAGCAGGTAATTTCAGGTACCCTGATCTCACTATCTAAAATTTATTTTTTATTCTACGAAGGGTATTCCCCTCTCTAGATTGCTAGTATTCCCTGTCATTTTTGGACCTATCCCCTCGCCGCATATCCCATCCCATGGCACATATTCTCCGGTATCGTTCAGCGCAGAAGTCAATTGCCTTTGGCTCCGTAGACAATCGTTTGATGCTTTAATGCTACTCAAGTGCTCAAACTCTTTTGCCAGGCGAATGATGATGCAACAACAACAACAATAGCAACAACAGCAAATTGCCAAAAAAAACCAGCATAGCCAAGAAGCAGAGCGAAAAAAGTACTTGAAGTGAAAACTTTTGCTTTTTCGAGAGCGTTCTATGCTATCCTATCCCCTCCCTATATAGACCACCGTCCTCCCCGAGCCCCAAAAAAGCACTGCCATAAAAATGCATGGCTCACACACACGGCACACATATGCATATCTTTATTCCCATAGATTGCCTGTTGTAGCGTAAGGCAATCAGCAGGAAAAGCAGAAGGATCTCCTCTTTCCCTTCCCCAAAAAAAGCAGGACAAACCGAACCCAAACGAAACGCAACGGTACATATAACAGACAAACATTTCATTGAGTTGAGTTGAGACTAGTTTTTCGGCTGGATAGTGCACTTGAGCTCTGCCAGCATCTTTGGGGCCCAAGTTCCCCCACCCAAGAACCACATCCCCAAGAACCGGGCGCCGAAATTTCCTTGCATATGAGCGAAGTGATTGCTTAATTGCCAAAATTCATTGCACAGATTGATCATGGGGATGTGGAAAAAAGGAAAAAAAATGCCCAAAGAGGCAAAGAGTGTGCGAATCTAAGTGAAAGTTGTGAAGTCCTATTTCAAAGTCCTTATTGCCAATTCCAAGCCGAATGGACAGCACACAGTGGTCATCAAAATAATAGAACCGGGCGATTGTTATCGAGACATATGAAAAGTAATTACTGTTAAGGGCAAACAAAATATTGCTAATCTATTTCATTTAATATTCAACTCAATTGTGGATAAGCCATTAAAAATGATTTTATGCCCATAGCAATTAAAATCAAAGATATTATTTTCAAGACAATGATATTATTATTTCACCTTATGAATTGGAATTACATTGAGTCCCAAATAAAATAAACACACACACAATATCTCGAGTGGGATATCTGTAGCTGTTGTCTTTTGCTTTGGCTTAATTCCCCCTGCTCTTTTTGGTTAAGTCATTAAGCAGTGGTTTTCAAATTTTTATAGGGGTCTTACAAAATTTTTTGTTTTCTTAAAAGTTGTAGATTTTAAAAAGAATTTTCACAACCCGAAGAGTTGTAAAAGATTATAAAATTTTCATCCTGCGATTTTATGTCTCCTTAGAAGGAACGAACTTATCGCTTTAATAGAAATAGTAGCATACTTTTAGACATTAAAAAAGGATTTAAGGTCTGTTAAGATTTTTTGGGTATATTTGTAGCCTTAAAACTATCCCTGTTCACTTGCCCCTGTTTTTAGTGCCTTCTTTTTGGGCAACCCTTTCTTATGTTTGCCCTGGCAACTTTGTCGCCGCTCCACCGCTTTCTTTTGCTTTCTTCCGCTCACCTGCACTTTCTCCCCTTTCCACCTGATACTTTCCTCCTTCAGCGTGTTGTCATTATCAGCGTCTTGGCCGCACTTGTTGTTGTTGCTGCTTCCGCTGCTCGGAGCATTTTAATTATGCCCTAATGGCGCATAATAGCTGTCCCTGTCCCTCCGCCCATGCACTGTCTCTTTCTGGCCGACTTTCATTGCGCCTGGACAAACGACATTGGCATTTTCAGACGCCCGCTTCCGTTTGGCAACTTTGCCCATTTTTCGACTAGATTTCCGGTTAAGTTTGTCCGCCCCCATTTCCCCCAGTCTTCAGGTAAATTTGCACTGCCCTGTAGCTGGGCAAACCCTTTTTTCAAAGCCCAAACACCCTGTAAGATGAGGGGGTATATACCCCAGATACGAAGGATAAGTAAAATCGTAGATAGAACTATTCCACTATATTTGATAGCCAGCTCAATAGTTTAAAATATGCGAGCTTAGAAAAAAGGTGTCCTAAAGTATGCAATGAAAAATAATCCTTACTTTCGAATATGACATTAACTTACATACAGGAACACCCTGTAAGATGAGTTGGTATATACCTCAGATACGAGGGATAAGTAAATTCTGATTAACAGCTCAATAGTTTAAAATATGCGAGCTTAGAGAAAAGTGTCCAAAAGTATGCAATAAAAAATAGTCCTGACTTTTGGATATAACATTTATTATTGCATACTTACAGGGACTTATCATACCTCCTATCGCCAACCAAATACCCCTTCTTTTTTGTCCCATGCCTTTTGGCTTTTTCCCCTATTTGGATGACGGCATCGCCACCCCGCTTTCTTTCCGCCTTTCTTCTTCATTTCGCTTACTTTTGTTACCAGTTTTTCGGCAATTCTCGTTGCACTTTTGTGCACGCTTTGATTATTTTATTGCCCATCCCCCAGGCCCCCCTTTCGCCCACGCCCCTGTTCAAACTTCATTTGAAATTAAAACTTTTTGGGCTGCGGGAGCGAGATGGGGAACGGCAAAATCGCATTCTTGATTATGTTTTCCAACTGGCTCATCAACTGGCCAACAAAACTTTGTAATTATATCAATGAGTGCTGGCCGCAGGGAAAATGGGCGGCGAAGAGGGGGCGTGGCATTTAAATCGGACTTTTCGATGGCTAGCCAAAAATCAATCAATTTTCGTCTCTGCTCTCAAAATATTTTTGCATGGCATTTCAATTAAATTTGATTTGATTTGATGCAATGTGATTCGATTCGATTCGTTTCGATTCTCAGCGGTCTCTCAAGCTATGGCTGGAGTGCACTGAGCGAAAAGGCCAGGGCAAATTGGAAAAGTAAAAATAATAAGTAATAAATAGGTAACATCTCAGTAATAAAAGATTTATTTTAAGAATTGAACAACATTTATAAAATCAGTAATTTTTATAATATGTCATATTGCTATAATTAAAAATTACAACAACTTATTAAATAATATA